CCCACAGGCATACAGGGATGGGTGGTTACCCCATTTTGCAGAAGGCAAAACTGAGGCTTCACAAGAGAAGAGCCCTAAACAAGTAGTGAACTTTAGTTAAGGATGTTCGTGCTGAAGTATTCGGGGTGAAGGGCTGATGTCACCCCTTACTTTGAAACGTATGCGAATCCAGGACGGATCCATATGCGATAGAGCCATGGAACAAAATGTTAACTGTTGATTCCAGATAGTGGGTACTTGGGTGTTTGCCGAAAATTATTTCTTTTCCACGTGTCTGAAAATTTTCACGACAAAATGTTGGGGGGAATTAAAAATGAATATTTAAGATGGGTGCTTCAGCCTACTACAGCCCAGCAGGTCCCAGTCACCTGCAACCAGGTTTCCCAAATCCTTCCAGAGACGGTCGGTGCACGTTGAGCACCTACACAGCTATCCTTCTTGTTTCACTGATGTAGCAGACCTTGCCGCACATGGGCTGCTCCCCTCACTGCTGCAGACAGCAACCCTGTGGGACCCTCACACTGTAGGCGAGTCCCTGCAGGGCCCCCAGTGACAGGCAACACCCACACCACTGGGACCTACGAGTCACTTCCCTCCTCCTGGGAGCTGCCCTGGGGGCCCAAGGTGGTGACAGCTTTTGCCACTCAAGCTCGGCTTCTGCCCTAAGCAGAGAGGAACCGCACTAAGGGTGTCACTGTAGCCCCCTAATCATATTGCCCTGGTGGCCCCCAGCCCTCCTGGGTCAGGCTGAGACACACTTGGAGCTCAGTGTCAGCCTCTCCCGGCAGCCCCCCGCGCTCATGGTGGCCATAAAGGGGCCGTGGCAGCCATTCCTCAGCCAGAAGCAGGAGTCAGGTGAGCCGAGGTACAGGAATTCTGGGGTGTGGTGTGGGAGGAGCCCTCAGCCGTGCCAGGCCAGGCTGGAGACGTCCACGGGCCCTGGCAGGGAGCAGCTCCGGCCCGACCCTGTGCTCCTCCATGGGAGGGCCAGGGGTCACACTGACCGCATCCTGCTGCACTTGGCAGGCCCCACCCACTATGCAGAATTGGAAACTGAGGCTCAGAGGAATTGTAATTTGCTCAAGTCCATCATTCAACCCAGGACCAGGGCCTGGGTTCTGCAGTCAGTAGGACAGGGAGGGCCTGGCCAGACCTGATTCTCCCTGTCTCAGCATCTGGCCTCGGGCCCAGGCTGTCATTCTGCAGGAACTCAAACCTTGAGCCCAGGAATGCAGACCCCACCCTGTCCCGGCCCTGGAAGTGGGTCTCTGCAACCTGCAGCTGGGGTTGAGGCAAACCCATGCCTGGCGCCCTCTGCTGGTCTGTGTGTTCCTCACGGGGTGGAGAGGCCTTGAGAACGTGCGGAGGGAGGGCAGGAAGGCAGCTCCCCGCCCAGGGTGACCCGTAACCCCGTCCTGATGGGACGAGTCAGGGCAAAAGTGTTGACCTAGTCACCCCCAGGGCAGCTCGGAGGCTGATACCTTGTTTAGTATACATAGTGGCCAGTGTTTAGAGACAGAGGTTATCAGACGGCAACTTAACTTCAGGTTTTTTTAAAATCAGAGTATCTGCCCACTCCGGACCCACGTTTTCCTGTGCGTAATTGGAAGGAGCTGAACACGATGGGGTAAGTCCTTTCCCGTTAGCCACAGGCCCCACCAGTCCCTATTGCCCTATCTGCCTCATTTAGTCACGTGGCCCCGCGGGCATTTGAACTCTCTCCTTGACCATCAGAGAGCCTGGCTCCTTTGGCCAGTCGGTGGTGTTGGAAGCCTGTAGACCTAACTCTCCAAGGCCCAAGCCTTCTCTCCAAGGCACCTGTGACTCCTCAGACAGGCCCAGCCCAGTGGATCTGCCCCTCATACACACTACCCAGAGAACTGAGGGGAGGACAGGTCCTCTGAGAGATTTTATTTGGCTTGCCAGGAGAAGGGGCTGCCTGGGTTCACCTCTTACAGCTCCTTTTGCTGGAACACAGCACCCTGATGATGTCCTTGGATCTCTGTAGGGTGTCAAGGAATGTGTGGGCTCCTTCCGAGGGGCTTCTGCCATGGCACAGGGGAGGGACGGGAATGCATGGGGGGAGGAGGAGAATTTGCTTCCAGTCAGCAGGGAAATGGGCTGCTATGGCAGGTAGTGAGCTGCCTGTCCCTAGAAGGGTTCAAGCAGGGTGTGGTTCCATTAATTTAATAGATATTTATTGGTGCCTCCAGTGTGCCAGGCTCTGTTCCAGGCATGGGAAATCCAATGGTGAGCACACAGGCCGGCCGGCCCATGTCCAGGAGCTGACTGTCCAGCTGGCAAACCTGTGAGTAGGTAGATCTGTGAACCATGATTTGCTCTTGGGAACAAATGCAACAGCGATGGAGGATAAATTCAGCCAGATGCTAGAGGTCCCTCTGCGGAGGCAGCATCTAGAAGAGAGGCCTGTGTAATGAGAAGGAGCTGGCCAGGCTGAGCGCTGGGGAAGAGTGTCCGGGGGAGGTGCCAGTGCAAAGGCCCTGGGGCAGAGACGGCTCAGTGTGTTCCAGGATTGGAAGAAGGCGGACAAACGGGGAGAGATGGAGCCGGAGGTGCGAGGCCTTCGGGCATGGAGGGGAGGGGTTGGGTTTGTTCTCATCTCCCAAGTGTGGGGACCACCTTAAACAAGACGGGAGCCTGCAGCAGAGGCCTTGTCGGTCCACAGCCCCTGTTGGGAGGGCCATCGCTAACTTGCTCAAGGCTCTAAGTGGTTTTGTCCACGTCAATCATTCATTTATTCACTTACTCGTTCAGCAAACATTTCCAGAGCTAGATGTGCTCTGGAGCAGCTGGGGCCGGGGGCCTGGAGTGAGACCTGGTCCCCAACTTCCAGAAGAGGCAGTGTGATGAGGGCAGGAGGTAGAGGGAAGCAGAGGTCAAGGAGGGCTTCCCAGAGGAGGTGTCCTCTGAGCCGAAGGAGGAGCCGATGGTCCTGTCCAAGGGGCTGTGGTGCTGAGACGGGGCACAGTTACAGAGGGCACCTCCACTGTGTGCTGAGAGCAGTGAGGTCACGGAAGGGTTACCACATGGCGCATAGCCCCTGCAGCAGGACCTTCTGAGACCGTAGCTGCCTGCACCCCATTTCATAGCTGGGGAGACTGAGGCTCAAGGACGCAGTGGGTCTGCGGCCCCTGAGGTCTGCTTTGCCCCACAGAAGGGCTGATTCGAAGCTGACTCAGCTCAGGGCCAACGTCGAGGGATGGGGTGTGTGTGTGTGTGTGTGTGTGTGTGTGTGTGTGTGTGTGTGTGTGTGTGTGTGTGTGTGTGTGTGTGTGTGTGTGCTTGAAGCCTGTCAGATCTGGATATTTGAGCTCCATCCCTCATCTGCTGAGCAACCCTAGGCAAGTCACTTAACCTCTCTAAGCCTGTTTCACATCTGTAAAAGGAGCGTGGCTCTCCATACCTGGCCAAGTTCTTGGGAGATGGTGCTGACCTGGCCCTTGGGTGGAGCCCAGCAAAATTCGGAGTCAGTGTGTCTGCCTCTGAGCCCAGGTTGTCCGCAGGCTCAGCAGCAGCCGCCCCAAACTGAAGATAAAACCTGGCGTGTTCTGTCCTTCCCCGCCTCCCACCTTGCGTTGCTACTGGGGAGGCAGAGTTTTACCAGGAGGGGAGCCTTTTGTCTGCAGGGAGACCGGGCCCAGAGAGGGTGAGTAGCCAGCTCAGGTTGCAAAGCAGGGGGCCTGCACCACGAGCGGGGAAGCCCCATCGGTGGGCTCGGCGTCCCCAGGGGCAGGAGAAGCCTCGCCCCTTCCCTGCCAACCCAGTCCTTCCCAGGGCCTGGTTGGCTACCCATCCACCAGCCCACCAGCCCCCGGCCCCTCCCGGTTGACACAAAAGGCCAGGCCTCCTGCGGGAGGGGGCGGGAAGGGGCTCCTGGGCCAGCTGGGCCACGGACACAGACGGGGAAGTGAGCGGAGACAGGAAGGAAGCTGCACTGCTGGAGTCTGGGGCCACCATTGTCTCACCTGGGGGCGGGGGCACCGCCGTCTCCCCTCTGCCCTGCTCAGCTGCCGCCCACCCTGGATGGTTCCTTAGCTCCAGAGGGCACTGGGTCGCTGGGCCCTCCCCTCGTGGGCCCCACCCTGCTGCTGACTTCTTCCCCGACCCAGCCTCAGTTTCCCCAGCTGTAAAGCTTAGAGGGCAAGATGCTTGGGGCAGATCTGTGTCCTGCCAGGAATCCCACGGCAGGTGATGTCATGGCGAGTGCCAGCCATTTCTCTAGCAGTTCTCCTGAATCAGCTCCTGGAGCCTCACCGTTCCCGATGACTTGAGGGCTCTCTTCGTGCCCAGAAGTTCAGGAACTCGGCCAAGGTTGCACATCGGGGCAGCAGAGCTGCAACTCAGACGGAGACAGCCGGTTCTGCGCCCCACCCTTCTGTTTGTGGTATCACTGACCTGCGACTTTCCTTTAAATAATTCGCTTGTAAAGGGTGAACACCGGCTAAGCCTCATCCTAAACCGTGACGTCACCATTTTAATTGGGATGGACAGAGAGATGGATGGGTGAGCTGGGCTTGGAAGCCAGGGGCTGGGGGACTCGCAGCTGTGCTCACTCTCCAGGGCTCCCTCCCCCACCACACGTACAGAAGCGGGCAGGGACAGGACCTGCAGGAGGGACCCTTCCGTGCACCCTACCGGAAGTAGACTGCCCTGGGCTGGGGGCTGAGGGCGGAGCCGGAGGGTGTGAGTGTCCTGGGTGAAGACCGGCTGGGACCTTCTGGCCCATGGCCAGGAGCCCTGCCCTCCTTGGATCTCATCACCACTCCCCACCCCCAGACAGGGGCCTCCCCACAAGCCTGTGTCCATCCCAGCACCCCCCCAGACCCTCAGTGTCCTGGGGGTGAGGTAAGGGGCTGGACCACCCCCAGGACATAAGTCTCAGGGACCCCTGACCCCTAGCCTGGGGGAGGGTGTCCAGGGCTGCTTCGAATGGCCCCACCCCACCCCAGCCCATCCCCCTCTCCAAGTAGCCAAGCTCCTGCAGCCTGCTTAAATTTTATTGAAGGTGGAGCTGGAGTGGGGGGGCCCAGAACCTCAGGGCCCTCCCCCCAGCTTCCCCAGCGTGGGTTTCACTGGACGTGGGATGGCCAATGGCCAAGGCTCGATCCTGGGACTTCGGACACAGCTCAGTAGCCCACATCCCTGCAAGCATCCAAGACACCCGCCTCAGCTCCAGGCCCACCCCTGCAGAGACTCAGCAGATGGGGACAGGGCAAGCCCACAGCCCCGTCCCAGGCAAATGGGGCCCCGGGATAAAGATGCTCTGTGGGCGGGGCGGGAACATTACCCCCAGCTCAGGCCTCTCCTGGCCAGTTCCACCTGGGCCAGGCGGTGGTCGCTCAGCACCTGCACCCGGGTGATGGCGGCCAGTGGCCTGTGGCGGTGGGAGAACTGCAGCACCTTGTGCTCCTGGGCGTGGACATGGAAGTGCTCCGCATCTGAGCTGACCTCCATCTGTGGGCGGGAGGCCAGTGACCCACGGCCCACTGGGCCTGCGACCTGCTCCTGCACTGAGCTCCAAGAGCTCTGAGTCCAGGAAGCATAGCCGGGGGGCCCAGGGTTCCCTGAGCACGTGGAACCGCCGTCATGCAGGCCCACCCCATGGGAGTTCTGAACCCCCAGCTGGGAGTCCCTCCCTCTCTCCTCAGAGGGGTGGCTGGCGGCCAGGGGGTGGGCATCCTGCTGCACCCCCCAGACCCAGCAGTGAGACTCCCGCACTGGCCCTTTTACCTGTAAGCATCTCTAATAAGCCCCCTCCCCCAGGGGCTCCCGGTGGGGACAGCAGTGCTGCTGGAAGCCAGGGATACAGGGAGCCCTAGATGCTACACAGCATCCTTCCCACAAAGCAGCAGGTAGCCCTGATGTGTCCACAGGCACCCCAACACCCGTCTCCCTGCCCCTCCCCAAAGGGCCTTGCCCACCCCACCCCATGGGTTCCCCTGCCTCCCAAGGGCCTCGCCCCACTCCCGTCACCTCAAAGGGCTCCCCGAGCACCAGCGGAAAGACATTGGACACCTCCTCCTGGCCCCAGTGGCCACCCTGGAAGGTGTTGGCCACGATGGTGGCACTGGAGAACCGGGGCTTGATGTGGAAGACGATGTCCCCAGTCTCAGACAGGAAGTTGATCTCAAACCTGGGGGCATCATGAGGTTCGTGAGAGCCGTCCGCTGACGGCTGAGCAGTCACCCACCCAAGGCCAAGGAGGGGACCCTGGGGAGGGCGATGTCCCTTACTTGTCCTCTCCAGAGTCAGAGTGTCCCTGGACTAGCAGGTTCCAGCCCGGGGCCAGGCCCCCTGCATAGAAGGCTTCAAACTGCAGGCAAAAGAGGGGACAGAGGGCCCTGTGTCTGTGGCATCCTCCCCCTCCGGTACCCCACTTGCCCAGGCGTCCCCCAAAGTGCACGCACTTTGCCCGGACCCTGGCCCTCTGAGCAGCATTCCCTCTCAGCCTGGGGGTCTCGTGGGAGGGCAGCTCTGTGGGGGAGGAGCACAGCTGACTGGGGGACCCTCCCCGCTGGCCCTGCTCCCTTCTCCCCAAGTCCAGGTCTCACCCACCTGCAGTGCCATCTCTCCAGCTTCTGCTGGGAGCAGCGCGAGCCTGGGGATATAGGCGGCCGGGCTGGGCGGGGGCTCGGAGCCGCACCCCGGGGGTGGCTGATGAGGTCACTGTGCCTCTCCCTGCCCCCACCTCTCCCTCCGTCCTCAGCCTCTCGCCCTCCCCCACCAGCAGGTCCTCCATTCAAGCTCCAGGGACAGGGTGGCCCCCTCCCCACCCCCATTGCCTCGGGGCCTGTCTGCCTCTCAAAGTTCACCTCGCTTCTTAGGATCCTTCAGGCACCTGGGAAAGCAGCTTCTCCCCCATTCTTGCGGGAAGGGCGTGGCCGAGGCAGCGCCCCAACCCGCCTCCAGGATCTCAGGGACCCACACCCTCCCATGTGGTCAAGCGAGGAGGGCCGGGGGCCGGGGCACGCCTACCAGGCCTGCCCGGCCTTCGGGGCCGTCAGACCACCTGGTGCCTCCAGCCTGTGGCCCCGGCCCAGCGCAGCCCAGCCTCCCCCTGCTGCCCTGCTCCAGAGGCTCAGCTGGCCCCAAGGGGCAGAGCTGGGATTAGGCTGGGCCGCTGCGGTCAGCGCATTCCAGGACGCTGGCGGGTGGACAAGACGGGGGAGGGCCTTTCCCACAGCCCCTCTCCACTCCTGCCTGGCTCCTGGGCCCCGGCGCGGGGGAGGGGGCCAGGCTGGGGCCCTCGGGGAGCGTGTAGCCGAGACAGGCAGAGTCTCCCCAGGCTTTGGGGGCAGCCGTGGGGGCCTCTTGGCTGGACTGTCCGGGGGACCAACCCAGAGAGGAGCCGGGGCGGGCTCGGGGAGCACCGGGGCTGCTGTGCGCGGCAAGCGTGTGCGGTGAGCAGGTGGGTGAGTGTGTAAGGGTGCAGGTGACGGGGGAGGGGGGGCGTGGGGGTGGTGAGCGTGGGACCGGGCGGCTGGGGAAACGCAGTGTGTGCGACAGTGCGCCCGCGGCCATGGGAGGCGTCACGTCTGAGGGAGGCGCGTGCGCTGCAGGTGCCACTGCCCTTTCCCTGCCCAGCGAGCCTCGGCGGGGTGGGCATGCATCTGCCCCCCGGGGCCTGAGGGGTGCTCGGCCAGGATTGCCAGCCCTGCGTAACCCCACCACTCCCCTCGGGCCATTCTTCCCTCCAGCCCCTGGTGCGTCCCGCCCGGCCTCTCCACCTGTGCTGGTGACAGGCGTGTGCCTGTCATTTTTGATGAGGGGGGGTGATGCGAAGGCCAAGGCCGGGAAGGGCAGTTTCGTCCTCCCCGGCAGGCACGGGACAGGGCTGGCCGGGCCTGCAGGGGGCAGCCCTGGGCAGCGGAGGCGAGGCTGCCTGCTATGGCTTCCTGCCTCCGACACCAGCCTGCCTGCATGCACATCCCTGTCCCAACCCAGCGTGGCCGTCCTGGGGACTGAAGGCTGCAGACCCCTCCCCCCTGCCTCCCCCCAAGGATCACAGAGAGGGGAGCCCCTGCCACAGTGGCCCAGCAGGAGGGTGAGGCCCCTTGCTGCCTCTGCGCGTCCCTGTACCGTCTCCCGTGCTGCTAGGTGGGGACGTGGATCCTGGACTCTGGGTACAGCACTGGCCGGTGCCCAGGGCCCAGTGAGGGGCAGAGCACACAGTCAGGGGAGCAGAGCGGGCTTCCAACCGGCTGGGCGACCTGGAGCTAGTAGCCTCTGGGCTGCAGTCTTCCCAGCTGCACGAGACAGTTCTGTTCCCCGTGCCTGTCTGCTGGGCAGGGGAGGGTGGCCCGGGGTGGCCACAGACCTGGCTGGGTGCAGCAACCTGGGCTGTGGTCTCCTGGCTTTGAGGTCAGCAGGGGTTCTGGTGGAGAGTCCTTGGGAGTCAGTGGCCTGCAGCCCTAGCTGGGCATCGGGGGAAGGCCCTGGCCTGGGGGGAGGAGCCTGAGGACCCCTGATTTGGGCAGGCCTGTCCCGCTCTAAGCCTCAGCCTTCCAATCAATGGGGGACAATGGGGGCTGTGTTGAGGTAACCCACTGGGCCTGAGGGGGGGCCGGGGTGTGAGCCTGCCTGTTCACTCCAGCCTGGAGACCTCAGAAAGCCCAACTGCGATGACGCAGCTCTAGGCCTACCGCCCACCCCGTGACACCTGTGCCTGGCGTGAGCCTACACCTGGCCAGGGCTGTGGTCTCACCACCCCCTGGCTGTGGCTTTGGAACCTCTCTACATGGGGTGGGAGCCAGGAGCAACCGAAGCTCTCAGCAGTGGGGACGGCCAAGGGCCCAGAAGGGCCTGGCGGGGGCGGGGGGG